TGTTAGGTATCGTATCCGTTTTTTCCGTATCCATTTCGGGATTCCAAAGCCGAAGCCACGGAGGGCTTTTGAGAAGGCCAGAGGGCTTCCGAGAATCCCCGCCGCCTGCTGAGAAGTTCCACTCCCTCTCACTTCCCCCTCGGCGCGCCGCCGAGCGAGGAGTTTTGTGTTTTCGGGTCACAGCTCGGGTCTCAGGTGGCCCTTGGGGACGGTCTCGGCGAGGAGTAGCCGCTGGAACGCTTCCCGAGGCTGAAGGACCGCTGAGAGCCAACGAAACTGCCCGAAAAGGACCGAAGATCTTTGCTCATCGAGAATCAAAGAGCCCCCAACCCTGATATTACAATGAAGACGCAGCGTACCTTAGGTCCCCGTCTTTGCATTAGGGGTAATCAGTCTGGGTGGTTTGGCTTGTACATCGGCTGGAAAAAAGAGGCTCGCTGTCCCTCATGAGTTGGGGCTCTGAGCTTAGGTCCGCTCCCTTAGGGGTCCCTGAATTGCAAATCATTTGCGAGATGAGGAAGATGATGGTGCCGACGACGGCGTCGACGACGACGCTGGCGGCGACGCCGAGAGCTCGATGGCCGCCGGGCAGGGCGGCACCGCGGCTGTCCCGGGCGCGTTCGGCTGCGGCAAGACCGTCATCTCCCAGGCGAGCCTCCGGGGCCGCCCCGGCGTATGCGTGCTCGGGCGTTGCGTAATGGGGGGCGATGAATGAGGGGGTGCTCAATGTGAACGAAACTGGCCCTGAGGGCAACGGGTTCAGAGTTTTTTTGCTGTTTTTGGGCTCTCGGGGCCCTCCACGGGCCCCGTGACAGTCAAATAACGACTCGGGATGAAGAACGGGTCCTGGGAAGGCCCCTGGGGTCCAGGGGCCCGTTTCCCACAGGACCCGTCTCCTTCCTCCTGAGCTCCTCGGCTTGCCGTTCGGCTTGCCGCGTTGTTGGTATGAAGCCTATTGGATGTTCGTTGGGATCTCGTGGGATGCCTCTCGGGGACCTCTTGGAGGCAGTTTGGGGGCCTCGTGTAGGCCGTTTAAGGGCCTCTTGGGCTCTTGGGCCTCTTGGGGGCCTCTTGGGGGTCTCTTGGGGCCTCCCGGGCGCATCTCTTGGGGTCTCCTGGGGGCCTCTTTGGGCGGAAGGCTAGGATTTTCGGTTCGTGTTCCTTCTCTTTGGCCCCTTGTGGGGCCGCCTTTGGGCGCTTTTAGGCCGTCTTGGGGCCCTCTTGGAGGCCTCTTGGACCGTTTTGGGGTGGTCTTGGAGGCCTCTTGGGCCGTCTTGGAGCGTCAGGAAGCCGGAAAGGCGAGAATTCCCAAATCCTTCAAACGCCTACGGAAAATCAATGATTGCAAAGGCCTTGCGAAGGGGGGCGTCGACGACGACAGCGGCGGTGGCGGCGGCGACGACGACGCTGACGTGGGCCCGAGTCCTCAGGGCTGCTTCTTGGGGTATCTTGGCAAGGCTCTCGGGGGCCTCTGGGGGCAATTTTGCAGTCTCTTGGGAGCCTCTTGGGGGCCTCTTGGGAGCCTTTTCGGGTGTCCGACCTAAGGGTAGGGGTGGTATGGGGGAGGGGAAAGCCCTCATCGCAAGGGAAGGTGGAAGATGGAAGAGGACGCGCCCTCAACCACTCACGCCCAGAGGGCTGGTGGGACTGTTTGGCCAGTGAAAAAGAACGAAGTCCCAAGCCTCTTTGAGTCCAGGGTCGGTCTGGGGGTGGGGGTTTCCCCTAGACTTCCTCTGGCCCCCCTTATCGGACGAGGCTGGGACGAAGAGAAATCCGTCCAGAGCGTCCTGGGACGGAACTATCCCAGAGCGTTCCGGAACGCTGTGAGGAGGCCGCGGCGCCCGAGGCTTTCTCCAGAGCCACCCGATCGCAGAGATTTTGAATTTCATCCTCGCCCGATTTTCTCCTCGTCCTGGCCTCGTCTTACCTGAGGATGGTCGGGCAAGAACTGCGGCCCCGGTCTCCCCTTCGCCCACCCTCGCAGCGGTCCAGCTCTTTCTGCCCCAGGTCGAGTAGGGGATCGACTACAGAGTCGATCTACCAGAGAACTCATTTTCTCGCCGAGCCATACGTAGACTGTTGGCAGATCTGCGAACGCTCACTACGCGTTTCTCATGGGTTTGACGAACAGATGAATTTTGGGGTAAACCCATTCTGACGACGATCCCCTGCAGTGGGGACGCGCAGCACGAAACCATCTGCTTTTTCGTCAGGGGTGCCCTGGGTTTCTTCGCTCTCCGCGCGCTATGCGCGGTGCCTCCCCGCGGCCGTCCAGGACGCTGCCGCGTTGCGGGGTGCTCTCGGCCTCCCCCCCAGGTGCACCTCGCGTGCGGGCTTTCGGGGCTGGGCTGCTCGCGAGGGTTTCCTGCGACCGTGCCCGCCCTGTCCTCGACTTCTGCCCCGGCGCGCTCCGCGCGCACGGAGGCCCTCTCCAAGTACTCGAACTCCGACGTCGTGGTCTACGTCGGCTGCGGCGAGCGCGGCAACGAGATGGCCGAGGCGCGCGGCCAGGCATGCAGACGTGGCCCGTGCGGCCACGTGGCTCGGCGAGTACTCGGGGCACGCTGCTTGGGGTAGCTACTGCTGCAGCCCATGATTTCGGACGATGCGATGGACCGAGAGAGAGAGAGAGAGGGAGCGCGAGAGAGGTAGAGAAACGGAGAGAAAGAGAGAGAGAGGGGGGGATGACGGTTCGACGAGAGCAGATCGAAGGGAAACCGAGCCACTCCGCTCAGGATCACCATGAGGCGATGCGAATGCTGAGGCCAGCAGTGATGACAGTGACGGGCAGCACGGCGGCAGCATCGCAAAGGCAACCATTCGCTGTGATACGGCGCACCTCCGCCTACGGCGAGACTTCAGGCTTCGCGTATGACGAGGCTGCGTGCGCGGACCAGCCGAGAAAGGCCCTGGGGACTGCAGACCAGTCCCTGGGGATGGGTTGGATTGCTCCTGAGGCTAGCGCCGCAGAAGTACTCCGATGTTGGGTGTTGACGGGGGAGGAGGAGGAAGAGGAGGAGGAGGACCAGAGTAAAATCTCCTGGGCCCTCTCCTGGGCCTTTCTTTTTTCGCCCTTTTTGGCCCCCGCCCCTCCCCTCGCGGAGCCTAGATGGCTCCTTCCCTGGGCTTCCTGGCGGGGGTCCGTGTAGGGGGAGGTGGTCCCCCCAGCGCGCCTCGGGCGCGCGCGCGCGGCCGCGGCCGCGCGAACGGCTTCGTCTATTAGACATCGAGCCGCGAGCGAAGCGAAGCGAAGGACCAGAGTAAACCTAAGACTCACCGACGATGTTGAAATACACCCTCTCCCTCAAGATACCTTTACAGGCCCCTACAAGGGGTAATTTCCACTAAAAGAATTGCCCCGTTAGAGGACAACTGTGTGAACAGATTGAAGCGTGCCAGAACACCATTCTCAGGACTCCAACGCCACGAGTTAATCTGACTGTTACGTCCTTGGCGATCCTGAATCGTGCCAGAACGCCCTTCTTGGGACAGAACCAGTGCAACTCTTGCAGAACGAATGTACGCGGCGCTAGGGCGAGAGTCACATTCTGAAAAGGAATCGCCCTCCATCCGTGATGCTCTTAATACATTTTAGAGCGAATATACGCGGCGCTAAGGCGAGAGCCACAAGTCGAAATCGGGCCGCCCACTGTGTGTGTGGAACTCTTGCAATTTTCAAGACGAATGTGCGCGGCGCTAAGACGAGAACCACATTTTGAAAACGAGCCGCCCTCCATCCGTGAAGCTCCTGCACATTTTGTAAGGCGAATGTGCGCCTCGCTAAGGCGAGAGTCACACATCGAAAACGACCCGCCCTCAATCCGTGAAGTTCATAAAAATGTTGTAAGACGAATGTGCGTGGCGAGAAGCACCCGTCTTCAATCCGTGAACCTCTTGCAAGTTTTTAGGACGAGTGTACGCGGCGCTAAGACGTGAGCTACATTTTGAAAACGACCCGCCCTCAATCGGTGGAGCTCTGCAATTTAGAACGCGAGTATGCGCGGCGCTAAAAGGAGAGACACATTTTGCAAGCGACCCGAACCATATGGCAAACAGCTGTCAGTTTTTAAGCTTCAGGGTCATAAGTGGTGAGGACATCCCAGGTGGACCGCGCGGCCCGCCCTGTCCACCAGCCTCGGGGTGCGACAGGGAGGAGTTATCTATAAGGAAGGGACTGGAGGAGGAGGAGGAGGAGGAGGAGGAGGAGGAGGAGGGACGAGGAGGAGGAGGAGGAGGAGGAGGAGGAGGAGGAGGAGGAGGAGGAGAGGAGGAGTAAGAGGATGAGAAGGAGGAGGGAGGAGGAGGAGGAGGAGGAGGAGGAGGAGGAGGAGGAGGAGGAAGAGGAGGAGGAGGAGGAGGAGGAGGAGGAGGAGGAGGAGGAGGAGGAGGAGGAGGAGGACGGGCTGGGCGCTGGCCCAGGCCCGGCGCGAGGGGCGCTGCCAGACCGCGACGCCAGCGCCTTGGCCGACGAGGCGGTGCGGAAGGCGCTGGCCGAGGAGTATTCCCCAGCAGCTGCGCTCCTGAGCAACCTGGGGCTGGCCTCGCTGACGTTGGAGACCGGGCAGCAGCTCCAGGGCCTCTTGCGGCCGCGGGACGCCCCCGCCCTGGCGCCGCCGCCGGCCCGGCAGCTCGACGACGCGCCCCTCTCTTACGGGCGGCTGAAGAAGGTCCTGGCCAGCCCACAGGTGAGCGGGGCCGCCGTAGGCGGCGGCAGGTTCGAGCACTGGCGGGTGGTGCACTCTGACTCCAGGGCGCTGGCTGCCTTCTGCGGCGTCTGCGACCGCTTGGCAGAGGGGCGCGTCCCCGAGAGCGCCGCCGCCGCTCTGGCCACCCCGAAACTCACGCCGCTCTGGAAGCTCGAGCGCGGCGTTCGGCCCATCGCGGCGCCGAACATCCTGCGTTGCCTGGTGGGCCGCGCGCTGGCCACCGCGCGACGGGGCCACTGCACGGGCGCGATCGGAAGACAGCAGTTCACAATCGGTCGGCACGGCCGCCGTGACGGAACTTCTGGCGCACGCGGTGCGCGCTCTGCTGGGAGCCTCGCCGCACCTTGTGATCACGGCCCTGGACGCGAAGAATGCCTTCTGCACCGCGTGCAGGGCCGATTGCCTCCAGGAGCTGGAGGAGGTGGATCCCTCCCTCCCCCCGTGCGCAAAGTTGTTCTGCAGGCGCCGCTCGCAGTACTTCTTCTGGGACAGGAAGGGGGGGTGCCGTCGCTTGCGCGCCACTGACGGCGTAGACCAGGGCGACCCGCTCGCGCCCCTCCTCTTCGCCTGTGGCCTGCGCTCCCACCTGCGCGCGCTGGAGGAGGAGCTGCGCCGGCGGGCAGGGGCCCAGGGGCTCTCGCCGCCACGTGTTCGCCTACGTGGACGACTTGGTAGTCCTCGCGCCGCCAGGGCTTGCCGCGGAGGTGCTGCCCGCGGCGCAGGCCGCGCTTGCCCCGCTGGGACTAGACACCTGTTGTTTGACAAAACGCAGGCCTGGCCACTTCGGGCCGCGTGCCCGCCCAGCTTGGAGGCGCGCTGGCAAGCCTGGACGAAGGGCGCTGGGCAGCATTTGGGCGCAGCTGATTATGCGACGGAGAGCGCAGAGGACGCCGCGACGCGGGCCGCTGGGCTGTTCTCGAAGGTGTTCGAGCTGCCCTCGCTGGCGTCCCCGGACCTGCCCGCGGCGCAGACGGCGGCCTTGTTCCTGCGTCACTGCGGGACTGGCAAGCTGACGCACGCGCTACGCGCGACGCCGCCCTAGCAGGCGCGGCCAGCGGCAGCGGCTCACGACGCCGCTCTCCTGGCCGCGTGGGAGGAGCTCGGGCACCTGGGCCTTCTGACGCCGCAGCAGCAGCGGCGGCGCCGCCGACTCCCGCTGCGCGTGGGCGGCCGCGGCCTCCGCGGCCAGGAGGAGCTGGCTCAGGCGGCCTGGGCGGCCACTTGGGCGCAGGGCCTGGGCGCTCTGCGGGGGCGGACCGGGCTGGCCACCCTGGGCGACTTGGACGCGAGCCCTCTGCCGCTCGCCGCCGCCTGCCAGAGGGGCCTCGCCGAGCTCGCGGCGCTCCCGCCACCGCCGCCTCGCTGGGGCGCTGACGGCCCTGAAGGGCTGGCCACCTGGGCCGAGCTCGCCGCCGAGCCTAGACAGACGCTCCAGAGGGCGCTCGCAGCAAGGATCGACCAAACAACTTACGTGCGCCTCCTAGCTGAGTTCCTCGGACTCTGAAGAGGGCCGGGCGCTACTCCGCTCCCGCGGCGGCCTCCGCGTGGCAGGCTGTCTGACCGCCTCGCCTTGCGAGCCCCGCCAGCGGTTGGGAGACGCCGCCCACCGCTCCGCGTCGCGCTGCCTGCTCGGCCAGGGCGCGGCCCCGCCCGGCGCCGTCTGCTCGAGCTGCGCCCGCAGCGGGGGGCGAGCTGGTCAGCGCCGCCTTCGGCCTGCAGCGGGGAGCGGAGGGCCGCTCTGCTCCGGGGCCCGCCGCGACGGGCGGTGCCCGCGCGGAGGGGGCCTCGAGGCGCGCGGCGGCGTCCTCGAATCGGCGCGGGAGCGCATCTGCGCCGAGTGCGGCTACCAGGTGGTGCGCCAGACGCCAGCGCCGGCGTAGGGCCGCTGGCGCTGGCGCTGCGCGGGCTGCGAGGCCGGCGGCGCGGCGGCGGCGCGGCCGGCGGCGGGCGCCGCCCGCGCTTGCCGCGGCGCCCCGCTCACGGCCTGGTGCGAGGCTGTCATCCTCGACCTGGAGATCTCGCGGGCTGCCCGCGAGTCTTCATAGACGTCGCCGTTCGCTACTGCGTGCCGAGTGGCGCCGAGGGGCTCTGGGCTGCCGTGGCCCGAGACGGCGCCGTCAACAGGGGCGCGCGCCCTGGCGGATGGCGCTGCTCGCGCTCGAGACGGGCGGCCGCCGCGGCCCGGCAACCCTGCGGCGCCTGCGCCAGCTGGCGCGGGGCCGCGCGCAGCTGCTCGCCAGGGGCGACCCTGCCGCGGCCTCCGCGGCAGGCGCACTCGAGTGCCCCTGGGGCGCGGAGCTCGCGATGGCCTTGCAAGCCGCGGCGGCTTGCCAGCTCCAGACCGCGCTGGGCGCGGAGGCGGCCCTGCCCGGCGAGGGCGCGGCCCTGGCTGCCGTGCTTGCCAGATGAGCTGGCGCGGTTGCGCGGACTAGGAGTGCGGCTACTGGTTCGACGTGACGCCAGCGAAATTCAGCGCGGGCGCAAGCACGGGCGCCAGCGCAGACCAGGAGGAGGAGGAGGAGGAGGAGGAGGAAGAGGTGGAGGAGGAGGAGGAAGAAGAAACATAATATTCAGAAAAAGAAGAATATGAATAATACGACTAATAGGAGTAAGAATAATAATTAATAATACTAATATTCAGAAGTATACGAACCATAAGAATAATATTCATAATACTAGTAAGAAGAATAATATTGATAAGAAAAAGAAGAATAATAATAAGCAGGATGCGAATATTACTACGAATAATTATAAGACTAATAAGAATGTTAATACTCCTACAACTAATAAGAAT